CATGGAAGTATTACACTTCTCCATTATACTTGAAAGAGAGTTTTGCAGGGTATATCAGTCTGGGTTGGAATTTGTTTTCTTGCAAGACTAAAAGTACTTTGCTCCATGCTCTTCTTGACTTGATGGTTTATGAAGAGAAATCTGCCGTTATTCTGATGGGTTTTCCTTTAAATGTGACCTGTTTCTTTTCTTTAGTGGCTTTTAGTATACTGCTCCTGTGCTGAATTTCTGGGATCTTGATTATTATATGTCTGGGTGTGGTTTTCACTGGGTGATGTTATTTGGAGTTCTGTATGCTTTGGTTACAGGAATGTCAGATTGTTGCCCCATATTTGGGAAGTTTTCTGCTATTACTTCTGCCCATATTCTTTTTATATCACTTGTACTGACTCCTTCCTTCTCATTGATGCCTATTAGTCTCACATTGTCCATCTTTGTATCGTCTTGCAAGTATTGAATTATATTTTCCTGCTCCTAGTTGTTTTCAAGAGATCTTTTCTTACTTTTTCGCTAGGTGCAGTGGTGTCTTTAAGGTCAGAAAGTCTATTTTCACTTTCACTCAAACAGTTTTGCCAGCTTGTGACTGAGGCTTTAATTTCCTGTATATCACTTTGAATCTGCTTCATGCATTCTATTTCTTTCCTACATTGCTTATTCAAGGAGTTAATCATTTCTATATTTTGCTCTATTTTTTTATCAGTGTCTTCTTTAGAAGCACTTAGTACTTCTTTGATTATAGTTATCACTACATTTTTTAGTTCAGCAATTATTTCTGATCTGATTTCTTCTGTACATTTCTGCAGTTGTTTCTTTACTTCCAAAGCTGTTATTTCAGAGATATCAGGTGTATGATTTCCAGTTTCCTCAGCGCTAGTGTCTTTTGCATTTGTCCTGGGTGGTCTCGGTGCCTGAGACTGTCATTTTGTTCCTTCTCTTTGTCATTTTGTATACCACTGTCTTCTGACCTTTGGTGTAGAGCTAGATAGAGTTATTACCTTAGCACCAGGTCCAGATCTACGAAGTTCAAATTCCTCCAGGTGGGTGTTGCTTGGATCTGGCTGGGGTCTGGCTGCTGTACTCCACTTCTTCCTGCTGCAGCCCTTGGAGGTGAACCTTCTGTGCCACTCTGGCAAGATGTTCTGCTCCTGAACCAGCTGGGTGGGTCTTGCCTCTAGCCTCTTTGCAGGGAGTTCTGCTGAAGGGTTGCACACCGAGCCTGCGCTCTGGGTCGATTCAGGATCCAGTGGCCCTGGTGGTCTCACTCATATGCCGGGCCATCTGTTTACTTTGGCACAGAGACAAATAGATCAAGGACTGGTGAATCTTTTCCATACAAGGCCTCTTTTTGCTGCAAAATGTATCTTTTTTTGTTTTTTTCTTATTTTTCCTTATTGTGAATATTAAAGGTTGGCAAGTCAGAGTTTGTGTCCCTCACTACACAATATCCACAGGTAACATGTGAATAAAGGCTGTGGCTGTGTTCCCATGAAGTTTACACACATCGGTGGCAAAAGGCTTAGGCCAGGAGCCGTAGTGTGCCAATCCCTGATACACATCACGACATGCAAACAGCCCACTAGGGACCTAGCTGAGAGTCGTTCTGCATTTCTGGTCACCACAAGTTCATCTGACAGTTTTCATCTCTTCCATAGAGCCAGTTTGCTCTTCCTAACCCCAATTCAAGTTTTTGTTTTCTTTTGTTTTTTGTGGCTGGCTCAGCCCACCCCTGGGGCGGGGCTGGCATGTCATGTGGTGCTGGGGATTGAACTGTGGTCCTTGTGCACTTGCCTAAGCAGGTGCTTTAGACCACTGAGCTATTTTGCTGGTAAACATTCTATAACAGCAATAATTAAAAGCATCTTATGTGTTTGATTTGTTTGTTTCTTATTCTTTTTTTAATGTGAGCACAAATTCAGGATGAACAAGCCTTTTCTCCCAATCTTAATAAAAATACCTTTCTGGAATTCCAAAGTAGAAAAACAATGCATTCTTACAACCTAGTTGGTTTTTTGTTTGTTTGTTTGTTTGTCCTCTTGGGACAGGGTCTCAGGCTGTAGTCCAAGCTGGTCTCAAGCTCACAATGATCCTCCTGCCTCAGCCTCGCGAGTTCTGGGATTAGAGGTGTACCACCATGCCCCAGCTATAAATAGTTTTAAATGTTATAGCCTGGTGTGGTAGCACATACCTATAAACCCAGCACTTAGAAAGCTGAGACAAGAGAGCCTGGATTAAATAGTGTGACTCTGACTAAAAAAAACAACAACAAACAAACAAATTAATAGTTCTGAATGCTAAAGAAAACTTAACAATGCTTCTTAACCGTCATGGTCTTTTAATATCTGGACGACAGCAGCATCTCTCTCCTGTTCCATCACTCAACTTTATATAATGTTGTAGCACTCACAGCATGTCTTTTTGCACATTATTTCATTTCTTTTTAAGCTGATTTTTGAAATATATATTGTTTTGGAGAAGCTGATACTCAGCAGAGGTTAAGTGACTTCCCAAATCCTGATTCCTTTTCTTCAACATAACACTGACCGAGCAAGCACTGTGCTAGTTATGAAGAATAAGGATATAAATAAAATTCCATTTCTGTCTTTCTCTCTCACTCTCCTTGTTAATCCCCAGCCACTGCCAAAACGCCAGTCCCTAGATAAGTAATTCTGGAGATCCTCCTCTCGCTGGGGGCCCAGGTACTGCTCTCCCTTTATGGCCTCTGCTTTGTTTAACCGGAACCAGCCCTGAAGTTAGATCCCGGCTGAGGGTGCGGCTCAGTGTGCTTAGCATGCACACGGCCCACAGCCACAGCTGCAGCAGCAGCAGCAGCAGAAGGAAAGGAAGAAAAGAAAGAAAAGAAAACATCAGAGTAGAGACCTTTCCAGAAAGCCAGACGGCATGAATCTCCCTGGCCCTGGGATCACCGCAGGGACAGACTCACTACAAGAGGCCATTGCCTTGGCTCTTGCACTGGGCCCCTAAAGACCAGACTAAAAATCAGAATGGCAGTGTCAGCCATGTGGATGAGTCACAGCCATTGCTTGGCCAATGTGCTCTCTGTGAAAGCCTGAGAGAATGTTTTCTCTCCATGTGACTCTCCTTAGGCACACTCTACATCATCGATCACTTTCCTCTTTGGCCCCATAATCTCCTTGATCAGAAAATTTGGGACACTAATGAGTTACGTGACATTACAGTACAAGTTCTCCTATGTCCTGAGTCTTAACTGACCTTGGAAGGCTAGGGCCAAAATGTTGGTTTACCTTTCAGCCCTCCTTTTTCTTGGTCTTTAGGGGCCCAGAAATTTTGGTCTGCAAACTTAGGTTGTTAACCATACAGGATCTCAGGATAAGTCCTGAGGGGATTCCACTGACCTTATCAGACCCAAAAGCTACAACTCTTGTTGCATAGGTCCTGCTTTACCTTGGTCTTAATCATCCAGCAGAAAAGTATAAAAACAAAATATAAGAAGTAAAGCCATGCTGTTATGTTGAGCTGTAGGGGACTCAGGTCAACAATTTCTGACATTGCCAGTGAAGCAGAAGACCCAATGCTATTATGGGCTACTGGACTCTTTTAGACTATTTTGCTGAGTTTACACACCTATAAAATTCAAATGACGGCACTTAACAAAAAAAGGGGATACAGATGAATGTCCATTTTGTATCTGTGTATTCAAAGTGGTTGGGATAGATATATATAGTTACATTCTCTTAATGAATAGAGGGATTTGTTCTAATGGTGTTTGTAAATAGGATATCATGTTTGCATCTTGTACAGCAATTAACCACTAGAAAGAATGTATGTAACATGTTAATTATTGAAACTGTCCTACCAATTTGATTTGAAACTGTCTCATTGCTATTTGTTTCTCAATAAAATTATGGAAAAAAAATCAGAATGGATCATTCTGAAGTTTGAAGTCTCCAACCCAAAACTACACTGGAGAGACAAAACAACCAAATATCCCCAAACAAGTCAGTTTCAATTGCCATGATAGGGAAATCCCCCAATTTAATAACAAAAAAGTACCCTGAAGTCAGCTAATGTTTACCAGCCACTTCCCTGCCCTTCTGTCTCCCTGCCCCTGCCTTATGAGGCCAGTACTCTGAAGCAGCCACACCCTCCGTCCACTGCTTCTTCTTGTTAGCTTTCATCTGTAAAATTGGTCGCTTCGGTGCAGCTCCCTGGGACACCTATTCTACTTTATGGGAGGAAGTAGCATTCAATTCTATAATCTGAACTAAGGCCAACCAAGATTTGTGAACTAAATTCATTGTATTTTTTTTTTTTTTTTTTTTTGTACTGGGAATTGAACTCAAGACCTTGTGCTTGCTAGGCAGGCACTTAAGCACTGAGCTATCTTCCCAGCTTCTCATTGCAACTTTTTTTTAACAACATAATTACAAATAATCATTAAAAATTTTTTAGAATGATCAATATAAAGTTAGTTTTTATTTTAAAGTTTGCTGCTTTCTGAGGCTTAATTTTTTATTTATTTATTTATTTATTTATTTATTTATTTATTTATTTATTTTTGTGGAACCAGGGATTGAACTCAGGCTCTTGCGCTTGCCAGGGAAGCGCTTATTCTACTGAGTCATCTCCCTGGGCCCCTGAGGCTTAATTTTTATTTTTCCAAATAAACATAAATTCCTCAGTTTCCTTTGGATTCTTTCTCCTTATTCAGTGTATTCCTTTCACCTTGTCATTAGCCTTCCTGCAGAGGGTCAGTCCCTTGTGTCAACTGGCTTTTCTTTAATGTTAAAGAGGATGACACATACAGGGAGAGCAGTGGTACCACTTGTCCACAGCCCTGTCCTCCGTATCTGGGCTGAGCGCATTCAGACCCTGTGGGCTGACTGATATGCACAGTTGTCCTGCTATTTTCAGAGAGCACATTCAGTGGTTTAGGGTATTTTTAGTTCCAAGTAGGGATTTTTTTTCTTAATCGTGAGGCATCTGAGCCAGCGGAATGAGCCTTGTGCTCTGCTCCTTACCTCTGCAAGCAGATCGTGTAGTTCTCCTTCACTGGGGCAGCATCCCAATGACCTGACAATTGTCCCAATCTCTCTGGAAAAAAAAAAAGACTTCCATAGTTTTAGAATACTGCACAAACTCCAAAAAGCCAAGGCTTATATAAATACCAAATTAAATAGTTATACTCAAGTTCTTTCAGACCAGAGGTAACACTGCAAAGCAAATCACTCAGCATTGCCTCACACAGCGGCCCTCACTTAGCATGGGGGGTTACATTCCAGACCCCGCCCACTCCCACCCCCAGCCCTCAACCCCCAGCCCGCAATGAGAGAAAATCACGGAAGTAGCGACTTTATATTTATTTTAGTATTTATAAATATTTAAGGCTTTATAAACCCTTCCCACACTCTTTATAACCCTTCCCCACCCTTTTAAAAACACTTCTAATGTTCTTACATTTTCTAAACTCTAAACCTACGTATTTAACAACATATGCATACTGCACTGTACAATATGTATTCATCTGCTAAAGAAATACATACTGTAAACAATGTATTTTATTTTGATCTAATATTATTTTAATATGTTAGAATTAACATTTTAAATGTATTTTATATGTTTTAAAATTCTCAGGCAAAAATCATTAAAACTATAAACTATGCATATAAATAAAACTATACTGTATAAACACCTATACAGTATTGTACACTACTGCAAAATCCCACGATATAACAAAATTCCATGATATAGTGAAAAATCCATGATAAATAATTTAGATTAATATTTTTTGAAAACCCACAAAGCAGTGTCTGCGAAAGTCGAACCGCGACATAGCGAGCAACTTTTGTAATTGGAAAAGACACTCTCTGGGGGAAGGGAAAAGGCAGACAAGTGAGTGAAAGAGAGAGGAAAGCTCCATTTCATTGACTGGCAGATGTAAGCTCTGCCTGAGCCCAAACCAAGATGCTCTGGAAAGGAACAGAAAGGAGAGGAAGGGAGTCAGCAAGAGAGGCAGGCGCTTGCCAGAGATTTGATTGATTGATTGATTTTTAAATGTATTTGGTTGTTGCAGGGTCTCACTACGCAGGTCAGACTCACAGTGATCCTCCTGTTTTCAGTCTCCCCAGCGCTGGGATTGCAGGCATGTGCCACCATGCCGGGATTCTTGTCAGCTCAGCTGGCCCTGGGGGTGGGGCTGGCGTGACATGTGGTGCCAGGGTTGAGCCACAGTCCCTGCACTTGCCTAAGCTTGCCTAAGCAGGTGCTTTAGTCCACTGAGCTATCTTGCTGGCCCATCAGTTGATTTTAACTGTCCCCGAACTGTCTTGAGCCTCAGGTTCCACATCTGTAAAATGAAGGTGCTGACATCCACCCAGAGGTTTGTGGTGAAATTTATACCCGTGAAGGAGATGGGAAGCATGGTGTCCAGGCTAGACCGCAAGGATCCATCCCAGCTCTAGGACTTGCAAGGGTGGCCAGACTGCCTACACATCTAAGCCGCCTGGTAACTAACACAGTGCCTCCCCCTACACTTAGACCCAGTGGCAGCAGGCTGAGCCTGGGGAATACGGTGCCAAGGCTGAGCTGTAAAAACCTTGTGTGACCAGATACGTGTGAGCAGGTCTTGTCAGGGGTGGGAAGGGACCATGCAGAGAAGGCTGCAGACACAGCTTCCCAGGGAGGGGCTGCCCTTCCAGCGGCTCCATGCACAGTGACCACATGGCCACTCCACCCCAGGTCCCGCCCCCTGCAGGCTGCTGCAAGAGAGAAGGTGGCAGAGTGGCCGTCTGTCTACCTCTCTTTGAGGCATCTGTCAGCCTCCTGTTCCTTGAGCTGCTCTAACTACAAGGCTCTCTCTGCCCAGGCGGACCACAGAACACACCATCTCCTTCCTCTCTAGTCCAGAATCACAAAGGCCTAATTTAGACAAGGGAAACATGTGCGGGTTATTTTGCTGATGAGCCCAAGTTGGGCTAAAGAACAACACAACTCTTTGGAGAACTAAGCATTCTCCCCGTCCTCCCAGACCCTACCTACCTCAGCATCCTTCCATCTGCTGGTTCTGAGGGCAGCCCCTCCTCCTGGGGGCCAGTCTGCCCTGGGTGATGGAGGCTTCCTGGGGCTGAGCTCAGCATGGCACTCGGGACACAAAGCTGTCCTCACCTCTCACCTGTACCTCTCATCAGCATTAAGGGTCTCCTCTCCCCCACTTCCCCTCGAGACTGCACTGGCTGTGGGGTCCCAGTACCACATAAGAGGGAGAGAGGTCACAGGAGAAGAATTAACATCACACTCTACTGGTCTTGGCCAGTAGGGGATGATATGTAACATGTATTGACCGGATATATAAAAGTAGAGATGCAACTTGTCTGTAGTTTTCAAAGCCCACCATGCAATTCAGATCTGCAGCCTTTATTTTGTGATTTGGAAACGGGCTGGCAAAGAAACTCCCAGCTGAAGCCCCTGTCCCCGGGACAGTGAACGGCAAGGTCTTCGCAGGGGCAAGAAGGAGGAAGAGAGCCCAGCTGCCCCGTGGTGGAGCTCAAGGCCGCACCCCCTAGCCACACTCAGCCTCAGGCGCATGGTGTCTTCCAGGGGCCCGCCAAGTACCTCAGTTCCTCTCATCCCTTCCTGCCTCCCAAGTAGCTCTGTCGCCATGACACAGAGCATCACCGCCCTTGACTGCTCTGAATCAGGCTGCCCTACACACAACTGGCGTGAGGATGATTTATTATTCTCCACAAATGTGGGGTGGCTGGGCAGCCCCCCTCCCCAGTCTCTCCTGGGCTCACTCATGGACCTGAGCTGAGCAGTTAGTTAAGCCATGGGTCAGCCACTGGGGAGTCCCATTGTCACCCTCCTGAGCTGGGCCCTCACCATCCTGCCTCCCCTGTTCCTCTTACCTCCGGCACCCTCATTTTCACTTCCTCTATTCCTGTAAAGCATAGCTGGGCAAAACAACAGAAAAAGACAGCCCGCTACAAAATCATTCCTCCCAGACTGGTGCTAAGGACCCTTTCCTCCTTGGTCCATTTCCTGGCACCCCACCCCCACCCCGCTGCTCTGGACCAGCTCTGGGTGCATTCTGAGCACTGCTCCTCCCGTCTGCCACCCGCTTCACCACTAGCCCTCAACCCCGCCAGTGCCACTGCCACCGCCTGGTCCCACTCCAGGGCCCCTGTTGGGCCTCTTTCCCAGCTCTGAGCCTTGGAGGACTGGAAAGGCTCCTTCCTATCTCAGGACCTGCCCGGCGCCAGGTCTCTCACCGGGTCTTGGCTCATGTGTGTCTGGGACATGCCTGCCCTCCTCTCAATCTCCGCATTCTCCCCTTTATTTGCTGCCTCATTTCCCTGAAACTTTTCCTTATCTTGAAAAACAAAGATTCAATACCTGTTTTACCACCTCCAACCGTTCTACCTCCCTGTTTTCTTTCAATACCTTCAAATCTTGTGAATTACTTATTCGCTAAGAGCTGTGGAGGCTGACAGAGGACCGAGGAGAGGACAGGCAGAACAAGCAAGGCTCCCACGTGGAGTGGACCAGGGCCTCCTCCTGCTTGCCTGCGCCCTCTGGGAGCCTCAGTCCTCTGCCTAGTCCTTTGCCAGGATCATGGGAGGCGAGGACAGGAGAGAGAATGTCTTCTGGCTGTCAAGCGAGCAGTAGCCAAAGAGAGTGATGCTGTTTCACGGCCTCCATCAGCCGCAGCTGTAAGACTCACACCTCACAGCAGCTCAACACAGCTACCATTATCTTTCAGAGGAGGAAACTGGACCATGGGTTGAGCCCCCTCCCCAAGACCACACTAGCAGTGCACAGTGGGAATGGGACTTGAACACGCGGCTGAGAGGCCACGTGACTAGCCACGGCAGCTGCTGCCTGCTGAAGCGCAGCCGAGCACTCAGTGAGGCTACAGCAGAACTTGGTGACTGTCAGGGGGTGCTTCCAAAGGAGGCTCTGGGTGCTGCACCCGGTGGGTGCGCTGGAGACAGATCTGAGGAGCAGATCTGATCCTCAGATGTTCGCCTTAGCACAGTCTGGTTTGCTTATTGTTTTAATGCTGTTGGTGCTGGGATGGGCCGCAGGACCTGTGCCAGCTACCGCACACCATGCCACTGGGCTGCACCCTCAGCCTGGTTTTTCAGGTGGGGGACACATACATGTCCTGAGAACTGTCCTGTACTCTTTTTGATTCACACATTTCTATGTCAGGCTCATCCCTGGGAACCCGCACTTGTCCTCTTGAAAAACAGCTTTATACTGGCCCGGAATTTACCCGCGAGAAGCAGAATGAGCCACATGACCTCGTGAAGCTCTCCGTACATACTGTGGCTCTAGGATCTGTTTGGAAGACCATCACTCTGATTTGGATAAGTGTCCCCTGAGACACAAATGTTAAAAGCATGGTTACCAGGCTGTGGAGCTGCTGGGAAGTAAGGGGGCCCCTAAGAGGTGGGGCCCATGGGAAGGCAGCTGAGCCACTGGGGCACACCCTCACGGGGGATGCCGGGGCTCCGCATCTCCTTGTTATGCTCTTTTCCTCCCGGCCACTATGGTGAGAACTAGCCGTTCCACCCCATGCTCCTGCCACCATGCTCTGCCTCGCCACAGGCCAACCAACTATGGACTGAAACTGTGAGCGGAAGTAAACCTTTCCTCCATTTAAATTGATTAACTCAGGTATTTTGTTACAGAGGCAGAAAGCTAACACAAACACACAAAGACATAAAACCTGTGGTTTTATGGAAGAGAATGTTTTTGTTCTTGAAGATGTACCCTGAAGCATCTCAGAAAAAGACTCCAATGCCTGTGACTTATGCTACAGGCTGGCAAGAGGATGATGAAATAAAATGTGTAAATAGTAAGTCCAAGTGAATGCACATAGTATACCACTCTCACAATCTATAGGTTTGAAATTTCTTAAATAAAGCTTTTACTAAAAAGCAAACATAAGCACATACAATATTAGAAAATGAAAGCAGAAATCTTGCCTCATATAAATAACCTAGAAAACATTTGCTCTTTTGTGCAGTTCTGTGTATGTCAATAGAAGCTGCTTATTAGATGTCTTGATCCTGTTTCAATTACTTTCAATT